CATACCATTCTCAAGCGAATCCATGGCCTCTGTACCTGGGTTCGTTTTTCACCTCAACGCCGCGAAAAATTCACTATCAATGTGAAATATTGTCAACCGGAAATGTGTGCTAAAAAGATTCAAGGTCTTGAGATCGATGTACCAACTCGTTGGAACTCGACTTATTCGATGTTGCAGCGCGCACTCTCCCTTGAAAAGACATGTACTCACTTCTGCAAACACAATGCTGAAGCTTCCAAGTTCCTCCTATCACCGGCCGAATGGGATCAAGCAAGATATCTCACACAGCTTCTAGAACCACTCCACGATGCTATCGTAATCCTATCTGGCTCCCATTACCCAACATTGAACAAGGCCCTCCCAGTCTATATTGTGCTGCTCAAACATCTTGACTCTGTTCGTCGAGGGCTTTACAACCAATCTCAGCTGATTCAACCAGCTCTTCAGATGATTGAGAAGTTTGACCAGTATATCCGGGACGCCCTCAAGAAACCTGTTTACATCTGCGCAATGATCCTCGACCCCAAATTCAAGACCGCTTTCTGGAAGAATCATCAGGATTTCATCTTTGATTGCTACCAGGTATCTGTCCAAGAAATCGAAGACATCTTTTTGATAGAAGCACTTGCCTTTGAGGAAAGGTTTGTGAAGGATAAGCCTCCTGAGGATTCAATGTTGAATCGATCGAACACCAAAGGCCATTTTACCTCGGCATTGTATCAGCCGGCTCCGAATATCCAAGGGATTCAAGCCAAAATTCGACACTACTTGAACGAAGATGTTGAAACCGAGGAGGTCAAAACACTTCCTTATTGGGCATCCCGACCCAAATCTTTCCCCAAACTGTCATTGATGGCTCGACGCTTCCTATCCATCCCAGCCACCAGCGCATCGTCGGAGCGAGTCTTTTCTACAGGTCGTCGCATTGTTTCGTGGCAGCAATCCTCCTTAAAGCCAACCACAATTGAGGGCCTATTGTGTCTCAAAGACTGGTTCCTCACCTTCGACGGGCCATTTTGATATCGTTTCTTTCTCTTATTCATTTTTTTTTTCTGTTCTCATGATTCTCACACAAAAAAAATACAAATTCATACTTCAAAAAATCTGAAAATATCATGTAATACAAGATCGAGGCAGCACAAATTGAAAAAAAAACCTTGCTTGATAATGTATCAAACCCCGGGGTTCCGGGGTTTTGCAAAACCTCATCCCGAGTCCTGAACCCCGGGGTTTGGATCCGGGCAAAACCCTGAACCCCGTGTGTCGGGGTCATGCCTTACTCTTGTCCATATGCTCTTTTTTGTTTGCATCGCTCATAAGGAGTTTTTATCGACCTCCTGTATTCGCTGCCACACGTCTTGTACAGGCGCCTGGTAATCAAATACACTGTGCTATGCAAATATCAAGATGGGCCGCATAATGCGATACATAACGGTCATATGCCCTGACCGGACGGTTTGGTGAGCTGATATTATCGATTGTTTTGGCTACACCACCGGGCCACATTTTCTGTGGGTGGGTGGTTCTGGAACTATCCTGCGAGGAGAACGTTCCTCCAACCGTGATACAACCCTCGGGTTGGAGGATGGGGTGGACCACAGTGGCTGAACGGCCATGTTGTATGACCGTTTGTGCTCTGTGGTCCACCCCATCCGCCCAAGTTGACTGAACAGATGGGTTGGAGCGCGGTTGGCATGACCGTTCAACTGTTGGTGGGTCGCTCCCTTGCCACCGACGTTATCAACCAGATTTCGTTCACCCAACAGAACCTTCCACTGTTGGGTGAACAAAATCGGGGAGCATGGTCTGTCCGTTCTCCAAGAGATCTCAGCAGGAGGGGCTTGCAGCTTTAATGGCTGTTGGCCCAGTGCGCGTGCCTCAAATTTTTGCAGAAAAGAATGAAAGAAATTTGCTATTGCCGACAGGTTTTCTGGACAAGAACCAAGATGCCCTACAATCAGTCTAAGAACAGATTCAAGAAACCATAAAATCAGATATGCAACGCTCCTCGGATGGGTATGTTCAGCTTATTTACTGTTATCGCCTGAATCGCTGCATTTGCTTTACATTTAAGATGCTTTTGAACATCATTTCCAACAGTGTTTCCAAGTTGGCAAGTGGAGATGATCGGACACTTTCAAAGCTCTATAACATCCCTCCACCAGTACGACAACAGTTGCAAGACATGGTCCAGCCTGGGGCTGGGGTGAGTCCCAACACCCTCGACAAAATCAAAGAACATCTGGCCACCATCATTCGGACTCAGCAAGAAACCGTCCAATGCATAGACGACCTTGAAAATGCCGTCCTTGGACTACTGAGGCTCTTCGCACCCACTAAGGATCTGCTGGCAAGGTTTTATGAAGACATCCAGGCTCGTCCTCAAGCACCCCTCCAACAACCTCGCCAACAGCGTCACCATCCCCACAACATGCGAAACCACCAATAGCCTTATTTTATCTGACTCTTGTCATCCCCCAAACTCCTTATGTTGTCTATGTATTGCTACCCCTCCCTCCCCGGCAATAAGTACGAAAACCAATGATTTGAAAGTAGCTATGACTAAAAACAAAACAATTGATTCGATCGATCAGATTGATTGATCAATCAAAAGTAAAATGGATGATCCACATCCCAAAGCGGAAGAATCCGTCTGTTGACATTGGATTCATCTTTGCGGATCAAATCCGTGAGATGAACAAGCTGTACGGAGCGCCAGAGGTACGGTTGGATGTATACACCACCCACCGGATGGGCAACCGAACTGGAAGACTTCCAGTTGGAGGAACGTTAGAGCATGGGGAAGTTATCGTTCCTCCAACCGTACTCGACGACCTTATCACGTTGTGGGACCGTCGGTCCCTCAGCAAAATTTCACCGTTGCACAACCCTTCAAACGAGGGTTGTGTAACCATTTGACTGGCCCGGTGGTGTAGCTACGATGACACTCCTCGAATTGGTACCGGCGACGCCGCAGATTGCGTCCAGCTTGTCGTTCATAGGGACACGAGGGGCTTGGGTTGAGGCTTCAGGAGACATCGGCACCGGCTGCATTGTAACCGCGAATTCTAAGACGATTGAAGATAGGTGATTCGTCAACGGTTGAGAAATAGTTAGCCAAAGGAGGTGAACAAACAATTTGTAGGTTTTTGTTTGGTTTCAAACTGATGACCAGAAGGCTGGAAGGTGGCTGTCTCAAGGAAGCTCAAGGATTTTACCAGCGGCCGCGATCATATCACCTGCTGGTATGACCCCGCCCTTGCCTCATAACACGATCTCATCCCGCATGGGTTACTGGGTCCCAAACCCAATGCTAATTGCATGATACAGGTGAGTATTGATTATTGCTGCATACACATCCTAGGCGCCGAAGAAGCTGGAATTTCCTCTTAACCCATAGCAAATCTTACTTGGCTCAAGAACCGTTGAATCCTTGATTATCTGCCCACATTTCAACGTGGAGAGGAAATGAAGCAATGGCCCTGAGGGGGAAGGTGGGGCCATCAGATGTGCGAAGACTAGAAGCAAAATGGAGCAATAATGATTGGTGGAGACGAGTTATAAAAAAGTCCCCAGCCAAAGTGCTAATCCTCTTCGGCCGCAGGGGCGACATAGCCCATAAGTCCCTCCGGCAAGCCATCGGGTCAACTGCCGGGGGGAATTAGTTAAGTTAGTGTAACTGGCTGGGCGCGAAGCGCCCCCTCCCGCAGGGAGGGACTTGAAACTTAAAACGCATTTGCGGTGTGACCCAGAAGCACTGTTTTGGTGGGAGCAACCTTCCTTGCCCCACCACTCATTCATTATAATGCCATTTTTTTCTCAATTCTAGTAGATGAAAGATCTACATAATCTTGATTTTCCTATATTTTTTTATTTTGAAAAGGTGTGTGATTCTATTTGAAAATAGGCAATGAAGTTCATGATTTTGAACTTTAATTTGCAAATTTGGCAGAGAGGCTCGAGCGCAATCTCAGTATAAGCATATTTTATGCCTGCAAAATGAGAATTTGTCTTTTTTCTGTTTGTTCTTTTAAAAAAGACTAGTGTCTAAAGGCGGCTGCGCCGCCATCTATCCAATACAAATATTTCATTTATTGCCTTTACTCCACTACTTTACACAAACTCATCAAGATTCATGCATATTTTTAGGCCTGTCGCCGGCAAAAATGACAGTTTTCCCCCCAAAGGTTAGTTTAGTCTTCATTAGATCTTTGAGACTTTGATCTACAGTCTTAATGGCATCCTTATACATTGCTACTGCCTCGTGTTAACAGATCAGCAGTCCATAAGTGCTTCCCTGTTTTGTCTTCGTGCAAGAAATCACAATAAAAATTGGCTGAAAACTGGACTGGGATGTTAAAGTAAGAATGGGCCATCTGAACCCCTGTCAATGATAGAGCAGCAACCCCTTCAACCCCACCACTATCACTGTCAGACTGTTTGACCTAAGAGCATTTATGATGAAATCCAGCGGGAAAGTTTTTTCCAGTTCCTCCTGGTCCATCTAGATAATACAGCTTTATATGACCAGAATGCACTCATGAGAAGTTATCATAAACCACATTGTAGAATTTAAGTTGAGCCATGTTCAAAAGACCAAGAATTATTTCCCAAACATTGCTCATGTCCCTTGCTTGGCACTCTCCACAATCTTGAGCATTGATAGAGATCAGAAAACGTTCCTGTCCTGGATTTAATCACAAGCCTACATCTTGTAAGATTTTTTCTAGTCAGAGTATAATGAAGATTCAAAATTGTTCTGGCTTGGGATCTTCTAAGCCATTCTGATTCTTCAGCATGTAGACCAATTCCTTGCCCATTTCCTTCCAATCTCAAACAAAGCCATGGGCGCAGCTGGTGGACTAAATAAAAGTATTGTCGCAAAGACTAATCTAAGTTGAAACTTGAAAACCTTTTGATGTGGGCTCCTTCAGTCAACACCTGATTGTATTGGCTGCTGTTGACTAATTAGCCCAAGGCATCAGCCATGTCCCAAAATTTGTAATGAACAATCCCATTGGCTGACTTCAGATTGACCCAAGATTGTATATTTTTACAATGAAGTAGGATGAGCCAAGTGTAATAATTAGTTGGAACGTACCTTGCTCGCCTGTCGCAAATGTAATTGCAAACAGATTGAGTATATTGGTCGAGTATTGCGTTGGCGACTTTTGTTGAAAGACAAAAGAAACCTGCTATTTCATTGATTGACGAGACAAATCTTAGAGGAGAGAAAGATGCTGACGGTGTATTTCATGCAGACTTTTAATTTGGAAAGCCTTCCACCAGGGTTATTGGATCAACCCCTCTTCGGGTCCGTCGCGAGGGGGATGGTTGAGGAAGCAATGGAAGTCGACCGGATTTTTTTCGATGTTATGTGGCTCTCGATGATTCCCCTCTTGGTCCGGATATGAGGGCGGAGATTTGGAGAGATGATGGGAGATGGCGAGGAGGAAGGCTGAGGCAGCAATGAGCTCGGGTTTGGCGACGAGACACAGCGGGGACATCAAGGAATCATTGATAAACCCCCAGGCGGCCTGGTGATCGACTTGGCTTTGGCCCGATCGGCCATTTTGACTGCAATCGACGATTTCGAAGGCTGGGCCCAAGTGTGGGACTCGTGGATGAACTTGACACTGTGTATTAAGGAGACGTAGGGATGGTCAACGGCCAGATCAAAACACAGCGTGCGTAGGAGGATATCCTCGTAATAGAGTATCTCCTGCTTGAGCACTTGAAACTCCTGTTGGGTTGGATGGTTGTTGATAGGGCCCACGTTAACGTTGGAAGGCAACTCCTTAAGCTACAATGTATAAGTAGGAAACCCTGTGACGTCCATTTTATTCAACACTTTTATTTCCAATGCTCCTTCAGCTTCACCATTGGGTTTGTCAACCATTGTCAAAATAATAGAATGGGAACCAAAATTACGTAACAAAGCTTGATTGATCTTTGCAGCGTCTTGCATCCGGCCCACTGTTTTTAACATCCGTTTTCTTGCCTGCCACTGCTTCCATTACTTTGGTTCAATACAAAAAATTGATCAAGCATAGACCGGCTAGATTTTTCATCCTCAATTTTAGTCTTGGCCTGTGGGCTTGAAGTGTAGAAAATTGAATGACCGTTTTCTTCATGTATTCCTAATCGTTGAACTGAAAAACAATGAATTGAGTGTTAGCAAAATCAAAGATACCATATGGTGAATACAAAAAAGGAAAGGATAATAGTTGAAGTATTGCGGGGTCACGTAACGGGATTGGGGTGTGGTAACAAATGAGACACTGTGTAACGGCTTTAGTGAAGAGATGAACAATAGGGGCAATCATGAAATGATGCAAAAGGCAGGTCCTTGGTCAGCAGATGAGGCAGTACAAATCAAAGGAGAGGTGAGAGTCAGCGGAAGAATGTGAAGTCTTGCCGCTGCCGGCCTTCCCTTATCCGGTACAGTATTTCTGACCACCGCTCTTGGGATCTCTCTCTTTCCTCAACCCGCTCTTGGGATCTCTCTCTTTTGTTCCCCGCTCTCGGCTATTTCCTAGTTGTATACTCAGAACCGATCTTGTCCAAGCCCGGAGTCTCTATCACCTTCTTCTCTCAAGTAGCCACTCTGGGTTACATATATCTTGAATCATGAATACTATCTATAACCGTGACTGGACTTCATCAAGTCCGGTCCTTCTTGTACCCATATCGGTTTCTCACCCTCTATCTTATCATATCCCAACCAAATGCCTTTAGGAAAGAGAGGATCAAAAGGGGAAGTGTCGAGATGATGGAAAAGGCAAGGGCGCTGTGAGCGGTTTAGGAAGGACATATCGAAGAAAGGGGAGAGAAGGCGGAAGATAGAAAAGTATGGAGGAAGAAGAATCGTGACAAAAGAGAAAAAACAATATAAAAGAAGGGTCAAGATGATGAGATGTTCCCCAAAGCCCAGGGTCAGGATGAGAATTAATGTCTCATCCGACATCGCTAGTAGCGGTACCTGGGGAAAAAAAGAGGGGGTTTGAGGTTTAATGTTAAACTTGTTAATTGGTATGGAATTAAAAATATGAAAAAATACAGAAAGATCAAGAAGATGTCATAGAACAAGAAAAAAAGCACAATGAAATTTTGAGAACAATAACATCAAAAACAGAGCAGAAAATACAAAAAAGAACATCAAAATCATGCCTGCCTCACGCGGGCTTTGAGTAATACAGTGTAAGCCTCTCTGAAAAGACTGGGCTGCCTCCCAGACCTGCCCGCAAACGACTCTCGTCACGAGAGGATTAGTTAAGCTCGGTCCCCTGAGGCTTGACTGAGGTACATGCCAGTTTGTTTCACTATTTTGTAGTGATTAGACGCGTATAATCTCTAGTTTTTTGCGTTCTATGTACACCCTCCCAAATTCTAGCCTCTGAGCACGATTATCCATCTGTTCAAGCCTGACTGTAAGCACTTTACTTCTATGAATATAATCTGAAGCAGGTAAAAAATTCTTGGAATTTTTGATCATTTTTTTTTTCTATGAATATAATCTACTAAGGGTAGAAGGGTCCAGAACAATCAAACTGATAAATCAGTACAGAAAAGTTAATTGAGAACCTGTTTCTTCCCAAAAAAAAATTTAACCACCATCCTTATTCATTTTCCTTGCCTTGAATGGATATCATGGGTTCTTTGAAACTAGCCAATTTAAAATTATTCAAAAAAGAAATCCATTGTCATGAAAGGAGACTACATGATAAACTTAGCATACCTTAAATTCCAATTCCTGAGGATTTGTGTGATATTGGAGGACTTCTGGTTGCCATTTATAGTGCTTTTTAATGCCTCCCAAGTCCCAAATTAACACCCCAATTGTTAATTTCAACCATCTCACATGAGACTTGTCTCTACAAGGCTTGTAAAAAGTATTTCTTTTGACAAAAGATTAGGATCTAGGGGGTGTAGATTGGATTCTGGGGTGGTTCTTGATTGCAACAGGAAGTCATCCATTTTATGATCAGAACAGTAAAAACATAAATGTGGAGTGTGTTCTGTATCCAAGCACCAAGGTAATTGCTTCCATACTTGAAATCATAAGGCTTTCAAGTCCTCTGAGGTAATCCAACTTAATCTGATTGGAGCTCTCTCAGCATGCATATTTATGGACATTATCAGGGTGACTGGATTCAGATTTCCAACTTTGTGAGCAATGTCTTGCAAAAAGGGGCCAGTGCTATCAACACTGAAACAGAGACAAGACATGTATTTGGTTTGTATTGTCTTTATTTTGAGCCTGATACCTGGTTTCAGTATTTCCTTGGTTGGTGAGAAAATCCACCGTCTCAGATTCAGATTTACAAATGCAAAAAAATGCCTTTGTTTTTTCTCTTCAATACAGCCAAATAGAATGTGTATCAGAGACGTTTTTGGTGGGATCATCCATCTGAGACGTTACAGAATAAGTGTATCACTTTCCAAAGACAATACATGTGTATTATCTCAGGAAAGTGAGACAACACAAATCCGGTATTTTTGGGTGTTCAAATTCTGAGACAGTAAAAATAAACACCTGATACCACCTCCTCTTGTCCCTGTTTCAGCATTGGTGCTATCTGAGGACCTTTGATTTGCCACTGCATTTGAGATTATTTGATTTAAAGGTGTAGCTCTTTTGAAAATTTCTAGATGATATAGTTCTTGCTGAGAGGCTGTGTTCCCATTTGAAATGCTGCAGCAGAAATGAAAATCTGACAGTAAAGTGTTGTGGTTCTGTTTTGTTCTCTCTCAAGTTCTGCCTTTTCTCTAGTTTTCTCGTGTTTGTTGAGGTACTCATATTCAGTCTAGACCTCATTATATTTCATTATTACTATGCTTCATACATGTCACATACATTTCACTGTCATTTCACATATGTTGTAGTACACCTGAGACAGCGGTCGTGGAAGAATTCTTTCCTCATCCTTCCACAAACCGCTCCACTCACCCACATCGTGTCTGCTGCTCTCAGGTGTGTTTTCATTCTGTTTCTTCTTTCTTTCTTTTCTCTTTTCTTTTGTTTTTCCCTTTCTTTCTTCTGAAGTGTGAAATGATAACAATCCTTCCACGAACCGCTCCACTCACCCACATCGTGTCTGCTGCTCTCAGCTCTGTTTTGCTTATCAGTGTTGTTTGTCTGCCCCCCCCCCCCAACCTTTCTCTCTGATGTCACAAATCCATAAAATTCTTTCAGTTATTTTTCCCTCAGTCAGCTGCCAGCTTTCACATAATTTCTTTTTTCCACAACCTTCCATAATTAACTGCTGCCTGGCCTAAGTTGGTTTCTTTGTTCATTTCTCTCTTCTGAAGTCTTTTTCTCTTGACCCTTTCTCTCTCTTCTTGAAATTGTGAAATTAAGCTCATCCTTCCACAAAGTGCCTGCCTGCTTCACTGCAACAAAAAGATCCACTTTGGTCAGTCTATGTGGTCCTGGTTCTGTTTGCTGTACATGTTATAACCTCAGAGAGCCAACAAGTACGCAAACCTTTTTAGTCTGATATGATTATGAGTGATCAAATCAATCTCCATGTTATTCCTAGTTACAATATCCACCAAAATTTCTCAAACAATCACCTGAAAGCAAGCTAAAGCTTGACATAAATGGCAGAGATGAAGCAGAAACAAAAATTTTCCTTGACTTATTCAAGTTCAATCAGATGGGTGGTTGGGTGAAAGATTTTATATGGTTTGGATAAGAAAAATCAATTGGATGCCTGGCAAAGAACCCCACAATCAGTCTGATGTGTGTCTTGCCAGCAGATCTTGTAGAAGTGACTAATGTGGTGGATGGTTGTCCTTCAACAGACTACTTGGCAATGAAATGGTCTCTGCTCCAGCTAAAAAAAATCTGAAAAAAAATCAAGCTGCTCATGCAAGAGAACCTTACTTTTCAATTGCTGTTACTAGTGCAGTCAAGCTACCACCTGAGCAGGTGAGGTAAAGGTATCATGAGGTCATAGTAATAACCTACAGCATGGGAGGCATGGGACAGTCTAGAATGTAGGGTGAAGATCAGAAACAGGGAGGAAAAAAGCATAAGGGTAATCTGATAGGTATATTGGGGATAAGGGTGAGATGAAGCTACGGTTATGCCCAAGAACTTGGGGAGGAGATAGGTACACTTGAAGACGAGGACTGGGATTTGGGTGAACTTGGAAACCCCCAGTACGGGTCAGGTCGCTCGAGTTGTGGGATCCGAATTTTAATTTTTTAATTTTTCGAAACCAACCACCTCGTCGATCCATCCTCAACACCTGCCAGCAACCCAATGAACCGAGCCAACCCTTCCCTGCTGAGCCTCAACCCAATCCAGCATCATCTCAACCGATTCTCAACTCAGATCCATTCACAGGCACCAAAGCGGATCTCACCTTCATTCAAACCGGGTCCATTCCGAGGGGCACTGCTAGCCAAGGAGCCAGGAAACACCCAGGATGAACAACAGAAGCAAACGCCCATCCAACACGAATATTCAGCCTCCCAACTCCTCAGATCGACAATCAGCAGCAGCAGTACCACTAATACCCCCAGAAACTCCTCGAGCAGCTCGAGGTTACACTTCCCGCATTCTAAGCTGATCAAGCAGCATCTCGAGGAATTGCTCTACCCGCTCTCGTTCTCTGACCAACTGGCGTGCCGAATCGTTAGCGCCAAGAACCTCATCAAGTCGCAGGACTCTCTCGACTCGCTCGAACAGCAGACCGAGGGAGGCGTGGGCTTTGCACGACTGGGCGAGCACAATACCAAGCTCAGCTTCATCGGTCGTCGGGCCATGCACTTCGCCCTTTCCAACTTCCTCCTCCACGCCCCTAGATCTTCATCTTCATCAACTCCAGCATCACCATCATCACCATCCGACGATCATCACTCCAAAAGAACCGGGAAAAGTACAAGCGAGGTGGTCGAAGATGCTCTGCTCACCAAGTTCGTCCTCGGCCAATACGTCGGCCACCAGTGGGAACTCGAGAAGATCATGCGCTGGAGAGAACTCAGCCCGCCTCCTTCAAAGCAACCGTCTTCCTCTGGTGAAGAAACCCAGCCAAGAGTCATGCATGGGACCGGTCTGTGGATGGCCCGAGGACATGTAGTCGAAGCGATCGTCGGGGCAGTGATGGCTGAACACGTAAGTGGATTTTTCAGCAGACAGAACGATAACCCAGAATGCTGGTTAGCCAAACTGAGAGAATAATATCTCTTGTGTTTTGTTTTTCAGGGCACACGACTCAGTATGGCGGTCTTCCACTCCCTCGTCCTCCCCCATCTCTCCTTCCGCCTCGATCGCGCCCTCCTCCCAGCCATCAAGGCCGTCCAGACACATGACCAAGAACTCGAGAATCCTAGCGCCGGTCTTGTGGACTGGAAGTCTCTAAATCTGGATCCCTTCCTCGACCATCAAGATCATCCGGCTACTACTTCCACCACTTCTTCTTTCAGTAGACCTGCCCCTATCGCTGCGGTCGGTTGACCATCTTCTTTCTTCCAGCTTTTTGATTTGCTTTGTTCGTTGTCAAAATGTGTTTTATTTTTAAGTAAAGCAACACAAAAAAATGTGATTTTTCTTTTTTTTTTTCGTCCTCATTTGCATTCTATTAAATTTTTTTAGACACAGGTATGGGAGAAGAGGAGACAGTATCAACATATAGATAGTGAAACTAATCAAGAAAGCCAAAAGTGAAACAAGCAAATATCCTCTTTTTTTGTTACATGAAAAGACACTAGCTATATCTTTATGAAGACTGGTGAGCAGAAGTGTTGTGGCTAAGTCCTTGTGGTTGACATTGCTTCTCCCTGCCCTCCTCTTCTATGCCTGAAACTTCAAATGTAGAGTTTGCACACTCCCTACAACAATAATCATAGGCCTATGTTTCTGCTTTGACACTATTATGAATAGCTTGTCAAAACAAAAAGACCACACCACTCTGAATGTCTCTGACTGATGACTCAGACCTTTTTCATTCCTAGTGATACCATCCAAATCTTGACATCTTTGGGCATGAAATTGCTGGATTCATGTTTCCCCACCTTTGGGCATGAAATTGCTGGATTCATGTTTCCCAGGTGTTGGAATTTTGTCTCTTCTACTTTTTCTTACTTCTGCCTCAATCTCAATCTCAGTAATCACTTGGATCTGCTCACTAGTCACTAGAAGTCTTCTCCTACTTAGTCTGACACTATCTCCTGTTATGAAGGTTGCCCCCAGCTTGTAGTCAATGAACCCTGTCTGAGGAGGATATTTCTTCTCTCATGTAGTCTTGCTTATCTATTAGGTTATATTCCATTCTTGCTGGTGTGTGATGCTGTACCCAAAAAGGTTTACTCTATTCATTATTGTTTATTCATTTTCTCAAGCACATCTGGATCAATCTTGTACATAGTATATTTAAACTGACTAAGTTACAAGAAATGATCTGGTGAGGATGGTAGTGATGGGGAACAAGGAGGACTGGGATAACCAATACATTGGGGTTTCCTACTTATCACAATAGTCCCATATGGTAGGCAAAGAATTGATAGGTTTCCAAACTGTAAGGCCCCGTTTGGCCAAAAATCATGATTTGTGATTTGGCTAAGGTTTGGTGCAGATTTGGACCATGCAATATTAAACCATATGAAATTTTTGCGCAAACTCCTGCCAAACCTTGCCTCAAAATTACAAATTATGGGAGGCCAAACAGGGCCTAAATTATCAATGAATGAGTTGAGTTTGATTGATACCTTTGGGAGCATATACCTAGACCAAATATAAATGGGCAAGTTTTGGAATCAAGATTCAGTGCTCTATCCATTGAGGATTTGATTTACTTGTTGAATTCTGTGAAACAAATTATACTTTCATGTTGATGTCAAATGCTGTGAAACAAATTATACTGTTGTCTTGATGCTTATAAAGGCATCTTTGGCTCACCATTTTAGTCACATTTGACTGGCATAGTGGTGAATTCATCCCACTCCAAGAGCCCACTGTTTCAGAAACCATTAATAACTTGACAAGTTGTTTGGTCAAACCCCATTGCAAGCAGTTATCAAGAATACCTGCCTGACCATGTGGAGCTACACTCTCACAGCCCGTGTGACACTTATCAATGCTCTGATCATGTACCAATTGGTTGAAGCACCCCTTTGGGGTGAAGTCAAGGCCCGGCCCTGTAGCTACTGCTTTGTGCCAAATATTCGTGCACCAACTCCGCGAGTAGAAAACACCAATACCCTCCTACCAATAGGCCGAGATGACAAGCCCTGTTGGAACCCTAACCCCCCATGTGGGGAATCCATTCCTGTCATTCTGTTCTACTGCAACGCGTGCTACACCACTGCATATGCACCTCTAAGAATGTGCAGCAAAGCTCATAGCCTGCATGAGGTTTATGTCAACAATTCACGCCGTGAGATTATTGAGGCAACATTACCTTATTAAAAAAATTTAAAAGGGGGAACATGCATATATTTCAACCCATGCCCCCACCTGGAGTATTCTTTTATCTCTTGGAAAATCCAACAGGAAATCTAACCATCAGGGCATTTCATGTAACTGATAATTTTCAATCTCTCTTTTGATTTTGATCATTTCTGCTTATTTTGCCAAGATATTCAGTTGAATTCAAGTGTAGGATCATGCATTCTGTATGCAGATCACTTTCTCATGTATTTACCAAAGGTCAATTTGAGCCAATTTCAACAGCTAATTTTGAAAATTGACAGCACACCTTATTATAATCAAGGGGCCATTTAACATTTCAATTTTCATACAAACTTTGGCTAATTTGTAACAAGCTCTTTTTGTTAATGCCCAAATGGTGGTTAAGTTTGAATTTAAGCATCAATACTCCACATCAATGTGTGGACCATCTCATTCTTAACAGTGTGGGAATGAAGTCACTGCATTCATTTTTCTTGTGTTAGGGAAAGGTGTCAAGTGGTGTGGTCAGGATGACAGGGATGGTCAAGAAGGATGATAAGAGGAACCAGAGCTCAGTTTTTTCCATACATTATATCACCATCAGATTAGTATTAATGACATAGGCATAAGCTTAGTTTTTTCATTTATCAGATTAATCCCATGCTATATGAATATCAGATTTTTTTTTATCCTAGTTGAGCTGATGATAATATATTGGAGGTTTGCACTTTTTTGGCAGAGTGCACGAAATTGACAAGAGCTCAAATTTTTGCAACTGTAAATTCTCAATAAATGAATTGAGTTTTATGGATTCTATCAGTGATTTTGTAGCTTATGGACCAATGTAAAGATGGATATATTTCAGAATCATGATCACTTTTTTGGGTACATTAATCTTCTTTAAGAAGAAATTACCTCATCCTTTCTTTCATGCTTTGGAATGAATTAAGATTCTTATCCTGGTCAAGAGGGCTGTATTGTTTGCAACCTGACAATACTATCAGCTGGAGGCAACCAATGTAGGTCCCTGACCAATTTCAATACACTAACCCTGGGCCCCAGCCAATAAAAAATTTGCCTGAGGGATAAATCTTACAGTGGTTGGCTCCAGCCAAACTTAATGTAGGGGTTGTGACCAATACACACCACAAACAATACCCATTTTGCCCCAGGAAAAAATGACAATTTGGTTGGTGGAAAATAGTTCAATTTCCTGAGGCTTTTTTACAAAATGAATCAGGAGTAAAAATTAGGCCAAAATGAGCTATTTTAGCCCAAAAATAAAAATTCCTCAAACATTCCAAAATTCATATTTAGCTCATTTGAGGCATTTTTATTTTTTGGCTAACATAGCTCATTTAGCCTAATTATTACCCCTGAGCCATTTTGTAAAAAAGCCTAAGGAAATTGACCTATTTACTCCACCTAAATAACCATTTATTCTTGGGGAAAAACAGGTATTGTTTGTAGTGACATCTCCTTTAGCAGTGTATAAAAAATTGAGGTTATATCTAGGCTAAAAATTTCAATTCAATCACACCTTGTTGGCATAGTGGTATATAATTTAAAGAGCCCAAAGTGTTTCAAAGAGCCTCAACAGAATCATAAGTCAACTGTTCAAACCCCAATATTGCTACTGTTTGTCCAAACATGCAAACCCACACACTCAATTTGTGTCTGGCACTTGTGGGTGCCCTGATCCTATACCCACTGGTCTCTGCCCATTTTCAACCATACAAGGCCCGTCACTGTGTCCAATGTAAAGATGTATCACAAGTTGAGACACTCCAACCCATTGAGAAAAAACATGTTAAATGTTGGAACAAAACCCCGTGCCAATTTGCCCTTCTAACTGCTTTCTACCACTGCAAAGTGTGCAACACCAGTGTGCAGGCACCTCTAGAGAAGTGTGGAAATGGCCATGTACTGTCTGAAATTTACATCACTGAACCACCGGTGAATAAGTTTGACTCTCATGTTGCCTGATGAGAAACAAAATAAAAGGTGAAACATGAATGCATCACCAAACACCCCCCCCCCCAGGAATAATTTTTATTTCTTGAAAAAAGTGAACAAAAATCTGATCATTACAGCAGTCCATTTACTGTTTACTTTATAATAAGTGTGTAAATCTTGTTAACAATTTTCTTTCTGATTTGTCTATAAAGTTTTAAAGCTTTAAGGAAAGCTATCCTTGAGAAGCAAGAGCACACATTCCAGCTTTGCCAGAAAATGTTCTTGGTCATCAAGCTTTATGAAAACCTAAAATAAAAAGCCAGGAAACTGCCATCAGTTGACATGCAGCAGGCTCCAATCAACCCTCAATGTAAACTTTGGTCATTGTGTTGACATACTTGTGTGGTACTGCCTTGTGGCCTCAAAGTGGTGAACCAGAAAAATCTAGAATAAAAGGCTAAGTTTGACTCCAGTTGGGTGTAGAGTATGGTATAACCTCTTGCATGTCAACTGCCAAAATGTGCTTGAATTTTTCTTTCAGTGAAAGATTATGAATTTTTGTAACTTCTGATTTTCCTTCTGATCTTGACAAGGTTTATTCTTGATGCAAGATTTTTAGAAAAATGTTGAAATAATATTCTAACTTTGGCTTAAGGCTCAGAAGTTATTTGTAGATTTATGTTAAAAATGTTTAGGGTTTATTTTTATGTTTTCTTTTATGACTAGTAAAACTTAATTTAATGAGTAATATTGTCTCTATTATAGTGATTCCACTTATTTAAATATTAATGTTTTATGGGGAGTGATAATCACACTCCCTCCCCCTTTGTGCACACACTCCAACACTCCCTTCAGAAAGGGAGTGTGGGACCGCACACAAATCAAAATTGGTGTGCGGGTCTGCACTCCAAACCTCTGCGCGGGAGTTCCTCCAGCAGGTTGGCGTGCGGGTCCGCACACCAATTCCAATTGGTGTGCGAGGCTGCACACCAAAATACCGGCCGGGGTCAAACGCATATGTTATAAATATGCATTTATCCCCTGGGCTATCCCATAGGACCCAGGCATGGGTCCTACGGGATAGCGCAGGGTTTCAACATAAAAAGGAGGCTGGGAGGAACCCCTCCCAGCCCAAAGAATGTAGTGTATTAAGGCCGGGAGGGGTTCCTCCCGGCCTTGAGACTGTACATGGCTCAAGGGTGAGAGGAATCCCTCTCAACCTTGAGACTGTACAGTCTTGAGTTCAACGAGGCACAAGTTACAACCCATGTACCTTGTCAACTAGAAGGTCTTCCTTCCAGTTGGCAAGATACATGTACCTTGCCGACTGGAAGGTTTCCCTTCC